CGAACATTTCACACCTGGGCCTTCAGTAGGGCTCCGTCTGAATCAATTCAACCATCAATAACTATTTTATGGTTATAGAAATCATCTTATTATGTAGAATTACAGTAGAAATGTCCCGATCCCGGCCTATCAGAGCATGTATCTAAAAAGAACAAGACAATCAGTAATTAGCATAGATCATGCTGTAGCATACTATGCTAAAATGAGTCATTTTAGCCAAATTCTAACAAGCCAGAATAATCTCAGTTCTCAGTTTGTGAATATGATCGGCTTTTCAGGTAAATAAAAAAGAAAAAACTCCTTTCTCATCATGGGTTCTTAAGAAGATCTAAGATCTTCAGTTAGTGTGATGTGAAATAATTTTACACTGCATAAACCCCCTTTTCAGGAAAAGCTGGAACAAGAACTACGGATGTCCCGATCCAGCTTTTTTCACTTCCGATCCGATCCCGATCCCGGCCTATCAGAGCATGTGTTAAAGTCTAAAGTTATTTATCTACTTACTTAGTTGTCAGACTCATGTTGAACAGGGATTTACTCTGATAACAACTTAATGGTTAGGACACAGACCTGTGGGTTACACATGCTAATGCTAATGCTAATGCTCTGATAACAACTTAATGGTTAGGACACAGACCTGTGGTTACAGATGCTAATGCTAATGCTAATGCTCTGATAACAACTTAATGGTTAGGACACAGACGTGTGGGTTAGGAGATGCTAATGCTAATGCTAGTGTGGGATTGGACTTTAAAAAAAAAAGTATCTGGAGTCTTTTCTCCCGCCGGCCGGGGACAAGCTGTTAGAGCCTAGCTGATATACTTAACTGTGCCCAATAAATGTTATTTTTGTACTTTTTAACTACTCTGGTTTATTCTCAGGTTTCCGACTAAATCATCGGTTTAACACGTCCAAATTCTGAACGGCTCATTTTCCTCTTAACTCATTGGCTGCCAAAGACGTCTATAGACGTCTTTTATGTTTTTCAACGAGAGTGTCTGGGGGACGATCTGCTAAAGCTTGTCCGTAAATATCAGGCTTCTAGACAG